GCTCACAACCTGTTCTCATGTGGGTTCACGTGTTATGCCTTTTCTGGTATCTGTCTTGTTGCTGTTGTTGTTTGAGGCAGGGTTTCTGTATATAGTTCTGGCTGTCCCAGAACTCATTATGTAGATGACGCTGGCCTCCAGTTCACAGAGATCCAAAAGCCTGTGTTCTGGGAATAAAAGTACAGGCCACCACGCGCTCTGCCTTTTGGGCTTATTTTTTGTTTGTTTGTTTGGTTGGTTGGTTGGTTTGGTTTGGGGGGTTGTTTGTTTGTTTGTTTGCTTGTTTGTTTCAAGATAAGGTCTCATTATGTAGCCTCGACTGTTCTGGAACTCTCTATGTAAACCAGGCTGGCTTCAAACTCTATGCCTGTGCCTCCCAAGTGTTGGAATTCAGGGGGTATACCACCAGACCTGGCATAACTTTTTATAGGTTTTTAATAGATGGAGGAAAAGCTACATTAATAAGCAAGAATTCCAGAACTATGGACAGAACCTAGATTTTTTTTTTTTTTTCAGATGGACTATGATGTAGGTTCCAGTGCCCAGTTCAGATCTCAGAGTTAAGGGGGAGCAATCCCTCATTTGGATGATCACCCCAGGAGCTCCTGCACATTAATCTCAGGTCAGATTTGGTTTTCTACATCATCAGTTGGAAAAGAACTATATTCAATACTCTTCTGCTCTGATTGGGTTTGATACTGTTGGGCAGCCTGTGCACAATGCTGAAGTAATGATGGCCTAGAGGAGGTCATGTTTCTCACAGAAACACTTTTGTGTGGATCCCGTGAGCATGGCTGCTGCTGGGTCCTGGCAGTGCCTCCAGTGCAGGAACGACAGAGTCTCAGCACACTCAGTCAGGAAGTGAAGCCACAAACAAGCTGAGAGACAAAAGCTCAGTTGGACCTGGACTGTCAGTGTGATGCTGAAACAGGAAGTCCCATGCCCTTCCCTGTGTACTGGTAGAGACAAGAACTCAACAATAACATGAGCTTGCCTTTGTGAGACTTCTAGGAATGAGTAAAATGTCACAGCATGCCAGAGGGTGCAGCCAATCCTGCTCCCCCCACACACACACACACCTGTCCTATGATTAGGAGGAAATGTCCTGGCTGAACAAACTCTGAACTCTCCAGTCTTTTCTGTGTGGAGGGGAAAAAGTGGGAATCTGCCCAATGTGGGGCTTCCTGTGAATGAGTTTTTGTCTCAAGTAACGCAAACAACAGTCCTAGAAACTTGTCTCTCTTGAGTGAGCCATTCTCTGGTGTTTTAATGCCTTGTATTCTTTTGTGGAAATTTGAGCACTTGACAAGCTGCAACAACAATACAACAGCTTCTCCCAGTTTCCATGGCCCGGCTTGGTTTAAGGGAAGATTATCAGTCAATCTGGATAGAGACTGTGTGCCCCCTAAGCCTGGTCTGGCTTGTGTGTGTAATTTTTCCCTTGAGCTTTGCTTATGCTCTTCCCTGCAGCCTCCCACACCGCCACCTGGTGTCTGCTGGCAATACTGCAATGCCTTTGGCGTCAGAACAACTAACACCCCTTTGAGAAGTCTGATTGGCCCTCCACGGATCATCTAAAGAATGTTATTTTTCTCTACTCAGTATTTTGTGTTATTTGAGACAGAAACTCAGCCACAGGTAGTCCTGAGCTGGGCATGTTCCCAAAAATATTTCAAAACTGACCGTCATTGAAGTCAGAGAGCTAATCAAACCACTGTCCTCTGAAGGAGCAGCAGGTGTTTGGAACGGCTGAGCCATCTCTCCTGTGCTAGAAACTTTAAAGCATCTTGAGGGCTAAAGAAGTGACTGGGTAGTCCAACACTACTAACTACTAACAAGCACAAGGCCTGTGTTCAGTCCCTATAACCACAGGAAAGGAAGAAAAAGTAGCTTTGGGGAAATAAAAAATTTTAACACAGCATACCATAAAGCATAGGAGGAGGCTGGCGATGGGCAGCTGAGCAGGTAAGAGTGCCCGCGGAGTAAGCATGGCATCTGCAATTCAAACCCCTGGCACGTGTACAAAAAGCATGCAAGTAGCATGCCCCAGTACTGAGAGGAGTGGAGACAGGAGGATCACCGAGGCTTCCTGACTGCCAGCCTAGCCCTATGTTCTGATGAGTAACCCTGTCTCAAGGGAATAAGGTAAAGAATGACAGGGAAGAACACCTGACATCCTCCTCTGCACACAGGCACATAGGCAGACGCATGGCCACATCCACATGTGCACATACAGCACACACACAGACACACACACTATAACACACACCACAGACACACACATTGTAACACACAAACACACACACCACAGACACACACACCACACACACACACTATAAAACACAACACACACATACACACACACACACACATACACACTCATGCATGCACACATGTGCTATGAAAGATCGGTGAAAGCACTACAGAGCATGAAGTTGTGGAAGACTCAGAAAGCAGCTGAATTAAAGACACCAGAACTTTCCTAAATCTTCCTGAGCCCGGGGCAACCATCAGATGTGCGGCTGCTGGAAAAGTTGCAGGGGTGTGTGTGTGTGTGTGTGTGTGTGTGTGTGTGTGTGTGTGTGTTGAGGCAGAGAGAACAACTGTAAACAATAGGCAGTGACCAAGAGAAAGCCAGAAATACCGAACTTTAGATTTGTAAAAGAAACAAAAGACTGCCAGGGGAGGTGGCGGGGCAAGTCTTTAATCCCAGCACTAGGGAGGGAGGGGGAGGCAGATGGATCTCTGTGAGTTCAAAGGCAGCCTGGTCCATAGAGCAAGTTCCAGGACAGCCAGGGCTACACAGAGAAACAAAGACAAAAGAAGAGGGGGAGGAGGAGAGGGGGGGGGGAGAGAGAGAGAGAGAGAGAGAGAGAGAGAGAGAGAGAGAGAGAGAGAGAGAGAGAGAGAGAGAGAGAGAGAGAGAGGCTAACAGACTAGGCAACAATAGAGAAGGCAAAAATTCCTCTCCCTGGGGCTTTGAGCGGAAGAACAAAGGGAGCCTTGGCGGAATTCCACAGATGCACAATTTGTAGCCTGCAAAAATGCGGACAGATTGTGATCTGAGCAGCAAACAGACCCTCAGGAAGACCCCTGTGCTCTACAGCTTCCTCACTGGTGCTAGGTGTGGGAACAGCTTAAGACAGATCTTACCATCAACCCTTCTGGTTCTGCAAAAGCCTTTGCCTTTTTAAAAGACAGTTCCATGCTCTCACTGCGTTGCTGAACCTACACACGGAGAATCCTGACATCAGTTCAATCCTGCAGCAGTCACAGAGGCATGCGCACATCGGCTGCAAAAGGCACTTCCTGGTCTGACCTGTTTGGGCTTCAGAGAGAACCTTAGTACCTCCCAGTTCCTCCCCGCCATATCCTAAATAAATAAGCCTGAGGCAGAAGTGTCTCCTCTGTAAGGCTCCCCCCACCCCCACCCCCGCCATTTCCTGCTTTCGAACTCTTCTCTCTCCTTCCCCTCACCGCTCTCAGTCATTTTTGTCCGATACTGGATACTGTTTCACTGCTTTCCTCTCACTACAGCTCCTGGAACCTTCAACCCATACCTTTCCCTTCCTGTCTAGCTTATTCCCATGCTCTTTTAAGTGCTGAATCAATACTTTCATTTTTCTTAATTATTAAAAACAATCCTAGTTTGTTCTATACTGACCTAAGTTCCCTTTTCTATCCATGTTGGGGGTATAAATGGTTTTAACTGTTTGGGGCTTTTCTTCCCTATAGTCTAAATACCCAGTTTGTTTATGAGTTCTTGTAGTAGCAATCTGCTTTCTGTCCTTTAAGAAGTCAAGAAAAGCCTGGCGGTGGTGGCGCATGCCTTTAATCCCAGCACTTGGGAGGCAGAGCCAGGCAGATCTCTGAGTTCGAGGCCAGCCTGGGCTACAGAGTGAGTTCCAGGAAAGGTGCAAAGCTACACAGAGAAACCTTGTCTTGAAAAAACCAAAAAAAAAAGTCAAGAAAAGTGAGAACTCAAGACAATGACCCGCTAAACAGAAGCCCTCATAAAACTCGAGGAATTCTCATCCCAGCAAACACACTATGGATGTAGAAATAAATTAATATAAAGAAGCAAGATGATGTACCTGTTATGATTTATTACACGGGCCCCCACCCCCGCCCCGTGGGTATCCTGGGAGTGCAGGAAACCATGCTGGCATCCTGGGCAGATGCAGGCTGGTGGGCAACCCACTCCATGCCAGCATGGCGACGGGTGGACATTCACACCCCAGATGCTACATCTGCATGGGGAATTTATTATAATAGAGAGATGAAGAGGTTGAAAGGGAGACAGAGAGAGAGAAGGGGGGGTCAAGGGATGCACACCTTGTGGAAGTGGAGGGGGAGAGAAGCAGAAGAGAGAAGACACATGGGCAGAGTTTGAGGCGGGATCAGAATATTAACAATACCTTCCCCAAATGCTTGTAGCTTTTCTACAACCAAACCCAGAAATCATTGAAATGACAGGCAACGAATTCAAAAGCCTGCTTTTTGTAATGATCAGTTACCACACAGGGTACACAGCTAGACAGAGGAATAAAATCAAGACACCAGTCCAAATCTTGGATAAGAAATTCACAAGGAGCCGGGCAGTGGTGGCGCATGCCTTTAATCCCGGACAAGAACCAAAACTATACAGAGAAACCCTGTCTGGAAAAACCAAAAGAAAAAAAGAAAGAAAGAAAAAAGGAAAGAAAGCAAGAAATTTACCAAGAAAGCATAATTTTTTTGGGAAAAAAAATTAAACCACAAGGGGCTAAGGAAAAGGCTCAGTGGGCAAAACTGCTTGTCTCTTGAATGAAAATGAGGACACAACCCCTCCCATGTATGGTTGAGGAGGTTTTATTAAAGATTTATTAAAGATGGTATTGTAGATATAAGGAAGAGAACAGCCAGAGGCATCTGGAAGAGTCCAGACTGAACATGACCAGCAGAATAGCCTGGGACATGAGGCTAGAGACAGAAGAGGGGAGGAAGTGGGGGGGGGGGGAGAGACAAGTAGACCAAGAGGCCCGGAGTAGCTGACTAGCCAGGAACCAAGGGTGAAGGGTGAAGGGTTTATTTACCAGGCGGACACTTCCGCCTAGCCATTTCCGGATCAAAGCGTCTGTTGTAGCCAGGATACCCGGCAGACCCGGACATCTCCGCCTAGCAAGTTCCGGGCCAAGGGGTCTCGCGTGATCAGGGTCCATGACATTACATGGTCACGTAAGCGCGCAACATGACCATGTGATCTACGCACACTCGTGGAGTAGTGACGTGACCTGGCCATGCCCCCAGCCGGTTTTAAAGTGGAGCGCCATGCTTCCTAGTTCCCTCTTCTCCATGCACGAGTCTCTCCCACAGGCCTGCACTCTCTATCCCTTTATTTCTAATAAACTCTTATAAGCGGATTCTGTCGTGTTTCGTGACGTTTCTTTGCAGGGTAAGAACACAACGCAGCTAAATAACTAACAAAGGGGCCAAGAGAACCAAAGATGGCATGTAACCAAAATGTCTAAGTTATATAAGAATCAGAAGCTGGGGGAAGGGAAGCCCAGCCCCTGGGCTGGAGAGGTTTGGGGTGGAGGTCAGGGTGAGAAGAGATGGGAGGAACCACACACAGGTCCTGAGTGAGATTTGACGCAGGTTTCTTTGGGATCAGACATTCCAGCCTTGTGTTGATAAGGGGTCATGTAACAGTCTCTTCTATAACTGCCTCTGAGCTGAAATCGTGACATTGTTGTCCGGGGGAGCCTGGGAAGGCTGGAATGTTGGTCAAAGCCAGGAAGAGAGAGAGGAACACAGGCTGGGAGACACCTGTTTCCCTGGATGCCCAGCTTCTGTGGAACCACCTGGGGTTAGTGAAGTGCAGGCTGCTTTGGGGAAGCCTGGGGTGCAGTTTCTGAAGGGACAGCTGAGGCTGGCACATTGTAGGCAGTTTTGGAGCAGTCTGCAGTTCATTGGAAATCTGCTAGGACAGATAGAGATTAGGGACAGAAGGTAGAGTTAAGGAACTTAGGGGAATATTTTTATCTTGGGTGTACATCTGAAACTTCCAGCCCATGGTCCTGGCAGTTGGTGGGGCAGAATAGGGGAGGGGAGTCCCAAGACCAGGGGAAAAAGAGAAATCCTACCCTTGAGAAGAGGCAAGTGGGGAAACTCAGGCTGTTGATTGACGAGTACTTCTCTGGGGTCCATTTGACCTGTGAGAGATGGATCCAAGTCTCAACTCCTGAAGCTTACAAGAAATTTTTTAAGTTTACAAAAAGAGATAAAAAGTGTTATATATATTAGCATTAACACTGTTTGTAATCTATACTGAAATCTTTTTTTGTAGAAAAAGCAGTAGAGCCAGGTGGTGGTGGCTCACACCTGTAATCCCAGCACTCGGGAGGCAGAGGCAGGTGGATCTCTGTGAGTTCGAGGCCAGCCTGGTCTACAGAACTAGTTCAGGATAGGCTCCAAAACTACAGAGAAACCCTGTCTTGAACCACCACCCCCCCCCCACACACACACACACACACAAAAGCAGAATCATGACTTTGAGTCATTAAAAAAAAGCTTGGGGATCCAAAAAATATTATTCGGAGTTAAAAGCATGAACACTTCCCCTATGCATCCAGAGGGTTGGAGATATAGATTGAACAGTGGTGTTTTTAGCACAATTGAGAGGCACTTTTAAAGTCTATACTTAGAAGACAACCAAAGGAAATTTCAATTTCCGAGCTTGTGACTGTGGTAATAGTAGCAGTGCTTTCCCAGATTAATATAATAGATTAATAGCCTCGTAGAACTGCATTGATTAATGTCAAAACTCTAAACTTTGGAGGACTTAGTATGACAGACTAGAGAGGGAGAGAAATCTGAAACAGTTCTCATTTTTTACATACCTTAAATCACTTCCTTAGACCTTTACAATGCGCATTTCTTTCTTAGACCTCACAAGTTACACTTTAAACCTTTTCTTTCATCTAGTTACTTACCATGAGACAGGGGTGGTTGATTCCTGAGAGCAGGCATTGTGAAGCAAGTTACTTTAAATAAAGGAATTGGTAAAAAGTTACATTGAACCCAGGTTTCTGAGTTTAGCTCTTTCACCATGAAGTCGGCCCCAAGGGTGAACTGTACTGTCTGCTTTTCTTAGGAAGAGACTTAGTAGCTCTAGAAAAGTGAGGCCTGGCTTACATTTGAAATGAACCGAGTGGGTGGCTGCAGCCTTAGGGAAGGAGTTGGGGGCGACAGTTAAACGGACAAAGCTACAGTTAGCTGTCAGAACCATCAGAGATCCCAGAAAGGGGAATTACCGCAGGAGGTATAATCCCAATAGCTTCTGTACCAATTAAAATGACATAGACCTACTGCTACCTGGACAGTTGACGTAGGCTTCTGTGGTGGACAGTTACTCTAGGCTCCCGTAGTCACAATGGCTTCAAGGAGTGGGTGGGAGACAAAGGTCATAGGTCTTCTGGCCACCACACGGAACAGTATTACATTGTCAGCTGCTGCACAAGACAGCATTAAACTTTTGGCTGCCAGACCCAGAAGGTCTCAGAGATTTTCCTGTGGAGGAAGTACTTGGGAAAACTGAACCACCTTGGCAAGGCAAAAGAGGGCAGGCAACCCAACAGTGTGCACAGTTCAAGCAGGGCCCTGGTGATAGGCAAGGCATGGGGTCTTTGACAAGTGGTCAGAATTACCACAGTCCAGGTGGAGTCATCTGTGTCCCATCATCTTCTTTGGAGACCTTAGGGTTGCTGTTAGGAGCTGGCAATTTTGTCTGTCACAGGAAGCTTTTTCATTAAGCATTTTTAATATCATATTCAGAAGATCTCTAAAGAGCTTAAGGACCTTTATCTATTAAGTATATCTGATTTTAAACAAACTATACTTGTTTTTAGTCACTTGTTTTAGGCTTAACCTTGAAAACAATATATAGGAGGCTAAGTAAAGTTTGTCGTTGTAAATGGAATACATTTGTACTTGGCACATCTAAGAGCATAGTTCTGAGCACATTAAAGAATTTGCTCTTTTATAGAGTGACTGGGCATTAACTTGCAGGTCTTAATTATCTTTAGCAGATTACAACAAATTAGTAGCTTATGTAAGACTAAGATTTTACAGCTTTATCCATGTTAACTTGAGCCCTAAATATTTGAATTGAAGAATTAATTGAAGCTCCTTTATCATCAAAATAAAACTTTAAACCATAAATACAGTCCATTGAGAGACTGAGGACTTAACTTTTTTGATCTTTTCATAATGCACCATTACAGAATATCAGTATTTTGTGAGACTCAGTTTATCCAAATAATATCCAAATATTAACAAAGCTAGCAAAGAAGCTACACATCTATCTTTAAGTCAGTTACTATTAACATCAGGAGATAGACCTTAGGAATTTATAAACCTTATTTATCAAACATATGTTTAAGACAGGGTTTCTCTGTGTGGTTTTGGTGCTTGTCCTGGAACTCACTCTGTAGCCTACTCAGACTGGCCTCGAACTCACAGAGATCTGCCTGCCTCTGCTTCCTGAGTACTAGGATTAAAGGCATGCACCACCACCACCCAGCCATATGTTCTTTCTTATACAAAAATTTTTTTGAAGTCTGGTGTTGAATAGTTAGCAAAGACATACATCTCTAAGTCAGTTTCTGTTAACCTAGGAACACCTGTATAACCTTAGGAATTTTTTTTTTCTGGAGCTGAGGACTGAACCCAGGGCCTTGTGCTTGCTAGGCAAGCACTCTACCACTGAGCTAAATCCCTAACCCCGGAATTTTTTATCATACAAAAATCTATCCTATTCCAAAATATTTTGGAGACCTGTCATTACCTCTTTAGTTCAAAAGGAGACAGATACAGTGATAAGCAGAGGGCTCAGTTGGACTGAGAAGTTTCATAACTGCTGTTTAGTTGGTTTAAACCATGTATTCATTTTAACCAAGATAGTGTGAAGCTCTATGACATGGTACATTTTAACCTTAGTAAAGATGGCTGCCAGTCACAGGGCTGCTTCCATCCTAACGAGGTCATCGGCCAAGATAGAGGCAGGTCACATGGTTGCTATTTAAAAACATCTATTTTTCTAAAGAGGAGTTGAATTCAAGTAACATACAAAGCACATAGATGTATTTTCCTAAATAAGAGTTGAATCACATATTGGAAATTAAGATTCAACCTTTTGTTACAAGTTTTAAGCTAACTTTTTTGTTACAGATTTTACAGATTCTTTAACCACACCCAATGAACTTATACATTCTGAGCTAAAGAATGTTCAAATAAGAGTCTTCAGGGCTGGAGTGATGGCTCAGCGGTTAAGAGCACTGACTACTCTTCCTAAAGGTCCTGAGTTCAATTCCCAGCAACCACATGGTGGATCACAACCACCTGTAATGAGATCTGGCGCCCTCTTCTGGCACATGCAAGTACACATGTAGACAGAACACTATACATAGTAAATAAATAAACCTTTTAAAAAAAATGAGAGTCTTTAAAGATGTCTTGAGAGGCCAACACAGGGAAAGTTTAGACATAAAAGATTTTCAAGAGCAGAAAGTTGAAAACCCTTAGAAATAAGAGACTTTGGGGAGTGTAGAGCAGAGAAAGCTTAGATATAAGAGATTTGGGGACCATTTGTTTGTGCATGGCAGAAGTTGTTACAATTTGGGAGAATCTGAAAATCCAGTGTGTCAGTTTTGGCCGTTGATCTGTATGGAGACCAATCCATTTACAGTAAGGTATCAAGGCTGTGGTAAAATCTCTAAGTCTGAGGAGTAACAGAAAAAAAGGGCTTTACACCTGAGGGAGGATTCCAACATCATAGAGGACAAAAGGGCACAGAGAAGCTATGGGACCCCAGCTCCTAGAGGGAGGCGAGGAAACTCAAGGAAGAAGCTGAGAAAAAAAAGAGACTGGAGGGTGGCGTCCAGGGTGTCCTCAACCAGACTGAAAGACTTGTCAGAGAAATGTCCCAAATCACAGAGGAGAGGCATCCCTTTCCACGTCCTAGGGGCCCAGTAGGGTGAGAGGAGCTTCCTGGCTCCTATTTGCAACCCTTTCCCCTCACAGCTACATTGGCTATCCCTCCTGGGCCCATACATGTTGACCCTTTTCCCTCAAGGCTCCTAGCTTCCTAGGAACTGCCTGCTCCGTCCCCCAGCTTCTCCATGCCCTACTGGATTTCTACAATATCAGAGTCCTCCCTGGGGCAGAATTCCTAATCTGCAACCCTCTTCTCCGTCTCTCAGCTCCCTCTTGGAGCTCACAGGAACCCTCTCTCTGGTTTGTTTTAAAGCCCTTTTGTAATAATGGTAGACAATGCAGGCTGACACTGACCAGCAGAGGAGGAGAGATGAGTGGTTAGAGCAGGTAGAGGAGAAAACAGCTGAAGAGGTAGACTGAGAGAGGCTTTTGAGGAGAGGGAGGGTTCCAATTGAGGGTGGCAGGTAAATGTCTTAGTAGAGAGTGGCCCACATGGTGGGGCCCCAAGTAGGCAAGGAGAGACATAGATTGTTGAGCAGGAGGAGAGAAGAAGTGGGTGAAGAGTCAGACTCTAAAACTTGGATGAAATATGGTGGAGGGTAGAAGCCAGCAGAAACAAATAACCCATACACCTTAGGCAAGTCAAGTCCGCAGCTCTGTTCAGAGCCTGAGTCCCTTGGAAGGGAACTCGCAGATGCCATTCCTGGAGTTTGGGCACCAGATGGATTAAAAATGAGGAAATGATTGCTTGATTGCTCCAAGGTTTGGTTGAGGAGAAGGGTTGTACTGTAGATATGAGGAAGAGAACAGCCAGAGGCATCTGGAAGAGTCCAGACTGAACCTGGCCAGGAGAATACGAGAGGAGCGAGGGAGTGAGAGCAGGAGAGGGAAAGGAGAGAGAGGAGCCAGGGGACAGGAGAACCAAGAGAGCATGTAGCCAAAATGGCTGAGTTAATGGGAATCAGAAGCTGGGGGAAGGGAAGCGAATTACCCTGGGTAGGTTTAGGGTAGGGGTGGGGTAAGAAGTGATTACTAGAAGGAGCCACGGGTAATTAGTTAGCCTAGCCCTGGGTTTTTTGGAATCAGATACCTCCAAGCCTGCTGACCTGAGTTTGATCCCTAGGACTCATATGGAAGGAAAGAAGCATCTACCACAAGTAATCCTCTGACCTCTACACATGCATTATCACACACACACTCATACACACACACACACACACACACACACACACACACACACACACACACAAGTAAACAAATGTAATATTTTTAAAATAAAATCTAAAGCATAAATCTTGAAAAAAAAGTTCAAAACATCAACTTTTTTTTTTTTTTTCAAGATAGGGTTTCTCTGTGTAGCTTTGGCACCTTTCCTGGAATTCACTCTGTAGACCAGGCTAGCCTTGAACTCACCGCCCGGCCTCAAAACATAGAATTTTTAAAATTCAATGAAAAGTATCATCAGTTGACTATATCAGCAGAAGAAATAATAATAGGGCCTGAAAGCAAGATCAAAGGACTATTGCATTCAGATGCCATAAAGGGAAAGGAAAAAAAGAAAAAACAACAACTAGCGATTATGACCACTTTAAAGAATTCTGAGACACAATTAAAAGATCAAACTTGCCAGGCGGTGGTGGGCACCTTTAATTCCAGCACTCAGGAGGCAGAGCCAGGCGAATCTCCATAAGTTCAAGGCCAGCCTGGTCTACAGAGTGAGATCCAGGACAGGCACTAAAACTACACAGAGAAACCCTGTGTGTGTGGGGGGGGGGCGGGGGATCAAACTTAAAACTCTTCAGGGTTGAAGAAGGAGCTAGAATAGAAACAATAACACCTACATACTCTGTGAAATTAGAGCAGAAAACCCCCAAGCATGGGCATCCACACAGTGTTGGGCTTGGGGTCTCTCAATAATGGGGGACAGACCACCAAAATCTATTAAATCAGAAGCAAACTTTATTCCAGAAAAAAACAAAGAAAAATAAAATTTTAAAAATGTCACCACAGGGCACAAAGTTTATCAGCTAACTAAGACCACAGCCAGAGTTTGGATTTTAAGGCTGTGGCAGTTGGAGGGGGGTTATGAGCCCCTTTTTATAGTAAGGAGAATGGCATTAGGCACAGAGTGCATGCTAGGAGTCACGTGGATACATCAGGCATAGGATGCATGCTAGAAGTCCCGTAGAAACAACTATTAAAAGTTAACTTTGGTCCAGGCAGTTGTTGGCTATAAGGGGCAAGGGGGTTAAAGGTTAACCCCTGGCTGTTGACAGAGGAGCTGGCTGTAAAGCAGACAGCCATTGTTAGCAGTTAACCTTTAGAGCGGATGACTGTCAGTTTCCATTTCTTTTCTTTTTGTTTGTTTGGTTTG